GATACAGTAGATACACTGGATACACTAGGATACACTGGATACAGTGGATACACTAGGATACACTAGGATACACTAGGATATACTGGATACATTGGATACACTAGGATACACTGAATACACTAGGATACACTGGATTCAGCGGATACAGTGGATACAGTGGATACAGTGGATACAGTGGATACAGTGGATACAGTGGATACACTGGATACAGTAGATACACTGGATACTCTAGGATATACTGGATACACTGGATACACTAGGATACACTGGATTCAGCGGATACACTGGATACAGTGGATACACTAAGATACACTAGGATACACTAAGATACAATGGATACAGTGGATACAGTGGATACACTGGATACACTAGGATACACTGGATACAGTAGATACACTGGATACACTAGGATACAGAGAATACAGTGGATACAGGGGATACACTAGGATACACTGAATACACTAGGATACACTGGATACACTAGGATACACTGGATACTCTAGGATACACTGGATACTCTAGGATACACTGGATACAGCGGATACACTGGATACACTGGATACAATGGATACAGTGGATACACTAAGATACACTGGATACACTAGGATACAGAGAATACAGTGGATACAGTGGATACAGTGGATACAGTGGATACAGTGGATACAGTGGATACAGTGGATACAGTGGATACAGTAGATACACTGGATACACTGGATACACTAGGATACAGAGAATACAGTGGATACAGTGGATACAGTGGATACACTAAGATACACTAGGATACACTAAGATACAATGGATACAGTGGATACACTAGGATACAGTGAGAGAGCGGCATCATGCACGATAACATAAAGCATACCGCCAGGACATTATAATCAGGCATACATGAAGTACTTACCAAAATGAACGCTGGCAAAAATGTGCTGGCGCAGCTGGCCGTTACGCATGCGTACTTGTCATCCGGGCAATTGTATGTCTTGATGTAAATCAAGGCTACGTGGCAGAACAGTGTACCATAGAGAGTTAGAAACTCAACTTTGAAGCTTTCTAACTCTAAAACGCAAAGGGTTTTGGACTTACTTTTAGAGGCACAAGCCTCTGCTATACTTCAATTATTGCCCTTCTGGTTTTTATTGAATTTTACTGCATTTTAAGACAAAAAAACCATGATGAGTCAGGGCCCTCCACCGCCAGGAGCCGGCTACAGGTAAGATGGCGGACGTCTGAATTTCGAGCAATGTTAGGTTTCGGTGATAAAAATTGTTTTAATCATAAACTTTCTCATGAAGGAATCAACCATTTGATGGCAATCTCAAGGGAGGCCAACAGAATGGACCTCAGGCGCCTTTTCCACCACAACAATTTACCAGTAACATGTCGAATGGACAAATGAACGGTGTATTCGACAATCGTCAGCCTCAGTTTCCTCAACAGATGCCACAAAAGGTATACACAGATAAAAGGAATTCGAGCTTTTCAAAGTGTTACGGCTGGTGCTGTGACTTTTGGATAGCTCGTCTAATGTCGAAGAAAATATAACAATGATATGACGTACGAAGTTACACGTAGTGTTTGATAAAACTATGAGTCTTTGTGAGCGACAACGTAACTATTTCAAATCTATTCATGTTAGATAATAATAATAAACCCATGCGATGAATTTTATTGGAAAATGTGATAATAAATAATAGATCTTAAATTCAAGCTTTGGAAAGTGACCCTTGTCATAATCGTTTGCAAATCCCCATTGAACTGGAATAAAATATTTCAATGGATTTTTTTGTTGTCTGTTTTTCACTTGTCTGTGACCTCAGCTTTTTTAAATCCCACAATTGAAACTTGATATTTATTATCTTACCCTAATATACCCAACACTAAAGGCAAATCTTTATTGGGACTGTGTTTATTTTTTCAAAGCAGATTGATTGGTAATGAATAATGTGTCATTTGTTTTGTTAGGGTGGTTTACCTTATCAGACTCAGCAAATGCCACCTCCTGGTGGTCAGCAACCACCAAGATCACAACCCCAGCAACTTCCTCCAACATCTCAATACCAACAACAGCGACCTCAACAACATCCATCACACCAGCAGCAACGACCAGGAATGCCTCCTCAGCAACCTCCTACATCACAACAGCAAAGACCTGGCATGCCACCACAACAAAACCCATCACAGCAGCAGCAACGACCAGGAATGCCTCCCCAGCACCCTACTACATCACAACAGCAAAGACCTGGCATGCCACCACAACAACATCCACAACAGCAGCAGCGACCAGGAATGCCACCACAACAACCTCCTACATCACAACAGCAAAGACCTGGCATGCAACCACAACAAAACCCATCACAGCAGCAGCAACGACCAGGAATGCCTCCCCAGCACCCTACTACATCACAGTACCAACAACAACAAACCCCTGGTATGCCTCCACTACAGCAGCGACCAATAATGCCACCACAACAACCTCCTACATCACAACAGCAAAGACCTGGCATGCCACCACAGCCTCCAACCTCTCAACAACAACAACAGCAACCTGGTATGCCACCACATCCATCACACCAGCAGCAACGACCAGGAATGCCTCCCCAGCCTCCAACATCACAACGTCAACCTGGCATGCCACCACATTCCCGGCCACCTATAATGAGTTCCCAGGTAGGTTAGGTGTCTAATAAGGTGGTCTTTGGTTTTAAGGTGGCTGACTACTTTTGAATATTCGATTTGAGCCCATGATGTGCACTCGCTCAAAAACTGCTGAATAATTTTCACGATTTTATTGAAGAACCATACATGTTTTGAACTTCAAGAGGGCAAAACCCTCAAACCCCCTGCACATCGTGGACTCAAATCAAACGCTCAAAAGTAGTCATAACCTTAAAACAACTTTTATCAGTATTTTATAAATATAGTGTAAGTTACGTGTTCTGAGAAAATTACTCCTGTTTCTTCCTTAGTTTCGGTTTTATGATTTTTTTTTTGTACAAAGCTTGATTTTCGTTATTCTTATTTGAAAATTGTATAAACACATTTCATTTCCGAGTGATCTCAAAAACAAGCTCAGGACACCCCATTTTCCTTTGCATTTTTGAAATCAGCTTTAGATTCAGGTTAAAGAAGTTTCAATTTTCGGTTTATTATTTACCAAAGTAGTCAGCCACCAGAACTAGTCATTTCAGAACATGCCATAATAAAAAAGGTTTTCATGTCCTGAGAGCCAGAATTTCTTGGTGCCTTGGCAAGACATTGATTCTTATAGTTTTTAATCCATCAAGCTCACAGTTTTTGAAAACCAGTTTGATGAAGAGAAACAAAAATAGCTGCTTAAACATTGCTTACTTCATATTTATTATGACAGATAAACCAACAGATGCAGAACCTAGATATAAATGCATCACAGAGTTCATCAATGTCAATGGGATGGTCCCAACAACAGCCTGCTAGACCCCCCATGCCGTCATACCCACCAATGCCAACAGGTGGACCTGGTCAACCTGGTCCACCTCAATCAGGACTCACTATGAACCCTCCATCATCCATGGCAGGGCCACCAATGATGCCTGGAATGGGGGGACAACCTGGTATGCCACCAACATCATACCCTGTTTCTCAGGTTAGTTATTCTGTACAACCTATACCATAGTCCGGTAGCTACAGTCTCCATCATTGCCAATGGTATGGTCACAGCAACAGCATGCAAGGCTCCTATTGCAAGGGCATAGCCAAGGGGCAGGCCCCCTCCCCTTGTGGCAACAAAATGGCAGCTTTTTGTGGAATTTTATGCAGTAATTTAAGTTTATTTAATGGTAATTTTTTAAAATAAAATGTAACTAGGTGGGTTTTATATTTTTTTCTTCTTGTAAAGTCTGATGGAATGTAGGCCTTTTTTTGGTTTGGCACTTCGGGGGAGCAAACAAACTTGTGGATTTTTTTATTCCCCTCTCCCCTCGCTCCCACTTTGGAAAACCGTGGCTGCAGCCCTGCCATGCCAAGTTTGTTGATAAGTAATTTCACATTGATTTTGGTAGAGTGGTCACCATGGATATCCTAGCTCTGGACCAAGCCATCCTGGTCAAAGGCCTCACATGGCCGGTCCTGGTATGTCTGGCCCAATGGGTCAACCTATGCAGCAGCAGAAGAGAATTGATCCTGATCAAATGCCCAGCCCTGTAAGTATCCAGCTATTATCCATGCAAACAATGGTTATAGGAGAATGATAAGTGGGGTTGGGGATTTGGAGGGGGGTTGGGAGGGTGTCTCAAAGCTGACATTTTACTTTACTAGTGATACCCTATTAGTGCTTGTAGCTTATTTTGTTTTAGAATGCAGGATACATTATTATTTGTACAACAGAACATGTGTCTTTCTCTTTCTAGATACAAGTGATGAAGGATGACCAGGAAACGCATAAAGACGGTCCATTCCTCACCAATACCAGGGGTAGGATACCTCCTCTTGTGTCCAGCAAATTTGTGGTCAAAGATGATGGTACGTTCATGTTGACATTCATGGTTACCTGCAATTATCCTCATGATTCATTTTCAAAGTAAAAAAGTGAAAATTAGGAAAAGCAGTGTAGTAATATAAGAAAATGCATAATAGGTATTAGTTACAAGCCCATCCCACATGGCTTACTGGCTCAACTCTCAGTGTAGTAATATATATTATATATCTGTAGAGAAAACCATAGATTTTTGATTTATCTATTTTGAATTTCTTTAGGCAATTGTAGTCCGAGATTCATGAGGAGTACAATGTACAATGTTCCTTGTAATAAGGACCTTTTACAAGCCAGCGATATCCCTTTTGCTGTTGTTATCACACCCTTTGCTGAAATACCTATAAATGAGGTAAGTTCACACAAGCCAATGAAAACAAATGTGGACTTTCTTTATTTCAATGACGTTTGCTTGAATTAGTAATGTCATATTATTAATTATTAGGAAAGTGATATATCAGCACTTGAGTGTTTGTTGCAAGTGGCCTATTCTCATGTACCTTCCCACAGTTCCCATGTTCCTTATGTTTATTTTTATTTWTTTTWATTTTTTTGGATCGATGGTGAAAATAGAGTTCTGAAAACAGTGGTGAKGATTTTCTCCATTGAGCCTGTGTTTTAAATGAATTAACCAGTCCATATTAACCAGGCAAAAATGTTTATTTCCCAGGGATATCTACCCGTTATCAACCATGGTGTCAATGGCCCAGTGCGTTGTAACCGCTGTAAAGCATATATAAACCCTTTTGTACAATTCATTGACGGAGGCAGACGATTTGTTTGCAACATCTGTTCTTACTCTACAGAAGGTAACAATTTACTTTTTTTGGTTTTTTCTTAGGGGAAGTAGTTGAAATTAGTGCTTATTTTGTATCGTTTGGATCTTATAAAAAAACTATAAAGATAGTGAATCAGGTGAAGTTGCTGGAGAGGACTTTCAGCCCCCCCCCCTCCCCCAAAACCAAACTCCCTCAGTGTTGTGGTTTGCTTGTAATGTATGGTTCTGATCAGTTGCCTAAAGTTGAAGTCTGTTCACTACTAAAAGGAATTGTCAAACCAATGACATAATTAAAACTTATTAAACAGTATTAAAGCTTTATTAAATTGTTTTGTTTACATTTTAGAATATTTTTGAGCAATCATGATAAGATACTACAGATCAAACAAAGACCGAATCATCATATTACTGCATAAAATGTCCTCAGCACTTGGAAAGCAATTTCAAGATATTTGTTTTTTGGATAATCAAGCCTGCATGAAGACTTAATTTAATCAGACTTTGAAAAATAGTAGCTGGATTTATAGCAGCCAAGAAATCTAGATTCCATCCTGGATCTTATACTGTCTTGGTTCTTATAGTATGTTTTTCATTTGTTTTCTCAGTTCCGTCAGAATACTTCTGTCACCTTGATCATCAAGGTCTAAGGGTTGACTTATACGAGAGGCCTGAACTTCATCTTGGTTCTTATGAGTTTGTAGCCACTACAGATTACTGTAAGGTATGTCACATGCATCTTGAGGTTGTTATTCTAAGAAAAGAATGGTACTCAAGCATCATTTTTTCATTGTTTCATTCAATAATCAGCTTAGTCAGCTGTACTGTGTGTTATTAGGATTAAGCAAAATGTTTAAACTAAAATATAGAGTTTATCGTGCTGTGATTGGTTGAGTGACCAGTGATTCTGAGATGATAATCACTGCTCAAGTGGTGATAATGGGGTTCCCAAAGTGTGACAGAGTGAAAGTGATACTAAAACGTTTTTTATCCTGAATTTTGACTTTTCTCTGATATTCAAGTCCAAAATTATACTAAATCAATTACTCCCCTCAGGCTCATTGATTATAGTGAATATTTACCTCGCCGCTCGAAGGCTTGAGGCTCTGTAAATATCCCACCGAATATCTCTTCACCTTCAGCAAATAATAACRATATTGTCAGTTGTTCTAACATGACTAAACTCTTGTTTACAGGACCAGAAATATCCTGACCCCCCAGCCTACATATTCATGATAGATGTATCATATCAAAGCATACAATGTGGTATGGTTCGACTATTAATGAAAGAGATTGGTGAATTACTGGACCATTTGCCAAAGTAAGGGATCAACAGTCAACTAACTATGATAAATGAATATGTCACATTCTTATAATAAATTATTATTAATGATTTCATCATTTCTTATGTTGATGAAATAGATTATCACATGCTAATAGTTTGATATCATTTTTATACCCAAGTTTCCTATTATAATATCGCAAACAATTGAAAACGAATGAATAAAAAAAGATTTCAATTTCTTAACATGTAAATAGATTTGTTTATTATGCATTTAGGGTTGATACAGTGACAAAACTTACAGTTTCCAGTTTACTGTGAAGTGACATCGTATCACTTCACCTGATAATATGGTTTTTATTCACTGCTTTATCACACTGCTATGGAACCTACATGTAATTTTTTTTTCCACACATCACATTGGTCTATGTGATAGAGTACAATATATGTACATATTATTATATTTTGTGTTTTTCTTTGTATTTTAGAGAGTACAATGATGAGCAGTCAAGAATCAAAGTTGGTTTTGTGACATACTCAAATCATTTACACTTCTACAACATTAAGGTATAAAGTGGTATTATAACATCTTTGCTTCTTGATGATGATGATGATGGCAATCAAACGATCACTGAGAAAATAAATGATGTTTCTTATATATCATCTTGATTACATTTTATTTTTTCCAGGAAAACCTAGCCCAACCTCAAATGATGGTAGTATCTGATGTAGAAGATGTATTTGTCCCTCTATTAGATGGATTCCTGGTAAATGTTGAGGAAGCAAGAAGTGTTATTGACAGCTTACTGGAACAAATCACCACCATGTTTGCTGATTCAAGAGACACAGAAACTGTTCTTGGACCTGTAATTCAAGCAGGAGTAGAAGCTCTTAAGGTATTTTTTAATCAGCCTTCAGTAGCATACCGAGAGTATGAGAGTCTGAGGGCCCTCTCACTCAATTTTGTGTTACAAGATTGGTCCATGCTCTATTTAAATCACTGTACTTCTCTCCCCTCAACTGGAAGTGTTGTATGATTACTCTAAGGATGTCTGGTTTGGGTGCTATATACAATCTCTAATCAGAAACCACATGGCTCAAAAGTATTTGTTAACCTTGTCAATCAATTGAGCACAGTGTTCATAAAACATAATACTTAACTGACATTAAAGAATTTGTTTACATAATAAAGCGGTTTGTGTTATAGTGGATATAGAAATATAGATAAGTTATAGTGGTTGGGAACGAGGTTATTCCGGGCAAAAGACCGTTGGAATTAAATTCAGAAAAATTAATTTCCGACCTCGCTGGGAATCGAACCCATGACCTTTGGAATTGTACTACCGATGCTCTATCAGCTGAGCTAGAGGTCAGACTGAGAGCAGGCTGGGGTGAAATAGATGTTAGGTCGCTGTAATTATGATGCAAAGATGAGAGTATGTGTTATAGTGGTTTCATTGTAGTGCAGTAATAAAACTATTAGGAGTTTCTCAGGAGACCAATTTCATTTTAGGTTTTTTTATTTTCTAGTCTGCAGGAATAGCTGGAAAGCTCTTTGTCTTCCACTCATCTCTACCAATCGCCGAAGCTCCTGGAAAATTAAAGAATCGAGAAGATAGGAAATTACTGGCCACTGACAAGGAGAAGGTACGACTATCACTATCCAAGATATACCACCTAAGATTAATTTTAAATTATTTGGATAAATGGGGAATGAACAAAAGAATTACTTAATTATTTGAAAGCATATGAATAGATAATTAGGAATGAGTAAGTAAATAGATGGAAAGAATGGGAAATGAAGAGTTTTACTATATATTTTATGCTGTCTTTGAACTGCATCACTGCTATTTTCATAAACATGCAAACTTACTAGCTGCGAACTGTACGATGAAATTTGGACTTTTTGCTGTCAATCAAATCTAATCAGTCAGTACTATTCTTATTTTTGACTGCCAGCAAGGAAAAACCAAATTTGCAGCTCACAAGCTATAGAGTTAGCACATTTATGAAAATAGAAGTAAATGTTTTAGTTTATGATAAGTAAGGTCAGATATCAGACATGCATTTTCTATTTTCCAGACCATTTTGGCACCACAGACAAACTTCTATGAAACATTAGCTAAATCCTGTGTAGAAAATGGTGTAACAGTGGACTTGTTTGTGTTCCCTAATGCCTACATAGACCTTGCTACTATTGGTTGTGTAGCTAGTCTGACTGGAGGACAGATCTTCAGATATTCTTACTTCAAGGTTTGTCAAGATAAAATCTTTCTTACTTCCTGGCAGTACTTTCCCCAAAGTCAATTTACTTGATAGTCGTTTTGCCCAGAGGCGATTCTCCTAGGCCCATTTGTATGAAGGGGGGATAGTGCTATCAGACAGATAAATCCTTTCCAGTAGATAAATGTATTGGTTAACAGCATTGACTTTTATCTACTTGATAAGGATTTATCCTCAGAATCAAAAACTCCATTTAACTTGATGATTTTAAAAGCTACTGATCCATTATGAAATATTGTGGGTGAGACATCCACCACTTAATTCCAAAAAAACTGTTATCTATTGTTAAAAAATTCATTACTAATTCATTAAGGAAACAAAATAGAAATCATGACCATGAAGGAGCTTTTATATCTGATATAAATTTGTCATCATGAGTTTTTTAAGCCGTTTAATAAACTCGCAGATCCTGTTTTATCGGGTCCAAAACCACTCGGCTGCGCCTAAAAACTATGGTTTTCCCCTTTACTTCTCTTGATACTTTCTTTTGTGTTCCACTATAAATGCTCTTAGTGTACTTTTTAACTAACATCATCGTCGTCATCATCTTCATCATCATCACCATCATCATTTTCATCATCATCTTCATCATCATAATCATCATTTTCATCATCATCATCCTCATCATAAAAAATAGCAAGGGGCAGATCCAGGGTGGATATTTTTGGCTGGATCTACCCCTGAGTAGCTCAAGAAGAAAACCTTTTCATTTATTTTATAGGTATTTAGTATTAAGAATATTCATTGATTATCGTAATAGGAAGCTTCACATGGCCAACAGTTCCGAGAAGACCTGAAGAAAACAATCGAATGTAAAATGGGTTTTGATACCGTCATGAGACTTCGCTGTAGCTCAGGTAAACATTATTTTATTACTCTGTTTATTTGATTGGTCATTATCAATCTTGTATCAATCAATCCATCAGTCACACATYGAGTTCGAACTGTGTGATGAGTGAAAGCAGGTTTATTTTAATATTAGCCATTCTGACGTGTAGCAGAACTGGATGGAATTTGTTTAGCAAGTTCACCGTGGAACTGTTTTAGGGTACATATTTCCAAGATGGTTATTCTAATGGTTATTAAAGAAAACTCGCAGTGCAAGATAATTCCAACTTAAACCCAGTTTTCCCCTCAATATCGGAATGGCTGATAGTTAATTGCTTTCATACTTCACTTGAAAATGTGCCAAAACGTTGGTCACTATCACTGAAAAATGTCTGATTCTTAGGACTGTTGAGAGGAACTATGCTTTATTCATTTGTATTCCATGTAGGGTTACGCCCAGTGGATTTCCATGGCAACTTCTACATGAGTAACACAACTGATGTTGAACTGGCAGGCATTAATCCACAACAGGTGAGCATTGATATTATCTGTAGAGGGCTAAAAATAATGGCTGTTCGGTCAGTCACAGGTCATGATCAGGGCTTAAAATAACTGGGACTTGTCTGGTCAAATCTTTGCATTGCCATCATTTTTACCATTAATGTTTTAGTTAGAAATAAGGTATGACTAAGCTAAAACTATTTTGGCCATTCATCATGACCAGCCACTGATCATCCATTATTTTAAGCCCTGTTTCTGGCTCATTGCTACTGGTCAAAAAGAACAGCAAGGCAAGGATTCAACTGGACAAGTTCCAATTCTTGGGGGACATTGCCCAATGACCAGGCATTATCTTAAGCCCTTCTGTGCTTTCTTGACCTACTGAAATTAATGTCAGTAACTTACAGTATTCCAAATCAACAAAAGAATTAACTTCGTAATTTATTAAATATCTGTTTTCTTTGCCTTAGGCTATCGCAATCGAAATCAAGCATGATGACAAGCTACAAGAAGACAGCACAGCTTACTTGCAGTGTGCATTGTTGTATACATCGGTCAGCGGTCAGAGGAGGTTACGGATTCATAATCTGGCATGCAATACCTGTACACAACTGTCAGAGTTGTTCCGATGCTGTGAAATGGACACCTTTGTAAATTTTGTATCTAAACAAGGTAATAACAGGCTCGAATAGGCCTCGAACATGGAATATTTTTTATTGAATTTATAGAATTCTCTTTGTTTTTTAAGGATCTGATGTTATTGAATATTAGAAAATGAAATTAAAATACTAAAAAATATTCAATAACAATGAACAAATGAAATATGTATTTTAGTATGATTATTTGATTGCCCTTAAACTATCGCAGGGCTAAAACAAATCATGTATCTAATACTTCTATGAAATTCTTTTATCCAAATGAATGATCATATATTGACGACCCACTTAATAATTCCATTGATGTTTTACTGATCTTATTGTGATTAATGTGTTAAGGTTAATAATATTCTTTTGCTATTTGTTTGTCTGTTTTTCAGCCGTAAAACAAGTCCTCACAACAGTGCCAAAGGACATCAGAGAGCGGCTTATCAACCAATGTGCTCAAATATTAGCATGCTATCGAAGGAACTGTGCTTCTCCTTCTTCAGCTGGGCAGGTAAGGAAACCTTATAGTTCAATCACAATGAGCGAGTATAGGCAGTTAAAAAAATGTATTTGGCTTTATTCAAGTAGTATTTACAGCACATGATAACATTTCTAAGTCACGTTTTTCTTCTGTACAGTTAATCTTGCCCGAGTGTATGAAACTATTGCCACTATATGTGAACTGTATTATCAAAAATGATGCTTTGAGTGGAGGTAAGAATAGCTTAATCTTTAAAAACCTATTTATTTGGGGGGGAGGGGGGTGGGTAATATTTGGAAAAGACAACAAAGTATTTTCCCACCCCCCTCCCCCATACACTAATAAATGAAAGCCCCCTAACACAAAATGAATGCTATCTTTTTTAGGCTCAGAGATGAGTTCAGATGATAGAAACTGGCTGATGAGAAAAGTCCTGTCGATGGATCAGTCGTTATCTGTTCCTTTCTTCTACCCAAGACTATTCCCCGTGGTAAGCAATCAAAACAATGCTGATCACAATGTAGCCCCTCCTCGGCTCAGGCGTGATCAGGTGTTATGTTTTCCCATTTCAGACCATGAGTCATTCCCTAGAGTATCATTCCTTTCCTTAATGGTTTCGCTCGGTGGCACATGAATATGGATACAACTCAAACAAAGAATCGTATACTCAAGAGAATGACACTTGGTCTGAAATGGGAAAACATTACACCTGAATGTGTCCCAGCTAAGGAGGTCTATTGTCCTTGTAGTACTCAGAACGACCACTCAGGACAAAGCTGATTACCCTGAAATTCTCCTTAAAATCAGAGTCCTGGTATATTTGCAGAGATAAACAATAAGATGAGCTGTATACACTAACAATCTTTATTTTCGAATAAAAAATAGTCAATAAATTTATATCAATTATCTTTTTTTAGCATGACGTTGATGTTGAATCAACCGGTCTGCCTGAGCAGATCAGATCTTCTATGGAAAGAATGTCAGATAATGGAATGTATATTCTAGGTATGTTTACAGATGATTACAAGTCATGTATTACGCTGTCTGTAGATAGAAAAAGCATTCCATGTTAAGGGGGGRAAAATCAGGTGTTGTTGATGGCCTATACCCCACGAGGGGTGTACAGGCTTAGGAGAATGTTAAGAAAAAAGCAAAGCAGCAGATTTCCAGTGTATTTGATAGGGTTTTTCCATGGTTTTCCTTGTAGATAATGGAATTGCACTATTCTTATGGGTGGGTCTACAAGTTGACCCTAACTTATTACAGCAAGTATTTGGCGTACCAACCATAGGACAAGTTGATATCGAGATGGTGAGTTTCTTTCTAAATGTGACACATCTAAATGTAACACAATATTGGATAGCCTTGGAAAACCAAGTAGTGTATTGACAAGAGCACTCACCTCTTATCAAGGCGAGCTGGGTTTGATCATAAGATTTACTTGTTGGTTCTTTCCTGTGCTTTGAGTGATTTTCTCTTGGATCTCCGGAAAAGGTAAACTTTTAAATTCCAATTGGAAATCATTGGATGAAGAGCTACTCAGTAGAAATGCTACTGCCATACCCTATTTGTTATTTATTTATATATTTTATTTTATTTGTCTTGTTAAGAGACATTTCCAGCTTGCTCATAATATTTTCCCATTAATTTTGTATCATTCCCTATTCCCCAACTGTTCTTTTTCGTTTCCCAGTACAAGTATTTCAAAAGAATAAGGATGACGTGGTCTGTTATAGGATGTACAGATTAATAATCATTGCATTTTTATCTCCCAGACGTCATTGCCTACCCTTGAAAACCCTCTGTCTTCTCGCTTAAGAGGCATTATTGAAGAGATCCTCCAAGAAAGACAGCAATATTTGAAGGTACACTATTACTGCATCATGACATCGGAAAAAAAATATATCCTTCTCAAAATTAAATTGGTGATTGACATACCAGTTTTGAGCACGATTGCCTTTGTTTATAAACATCACATCCTTTAATAGGAAAAAAAAAGTCCTGTTTGTCTATACATCTATACACTCAATTCCAAAGTCATTGTCACGTTCAAAAACATAGAACATAGAAACTGAGACCAAAACATTACATGGGAAGTACGTTCATTAGATGTATCTAGTGATCTAGTTATCTAGTGATACAAGCGTGCAATATTCATAAATTGTTGCACTGCTTCATAACGACTGTATATCCTAAAAGATTACATCAGAGGATAATTATGTTATTTTCCAGAGTACCTTTCGGTCTCAGCTCCTACCTTCTATATTTTAAACCTGACAATTATTTTGAGCGCTAGACATCACGTGGTATAAGACGTGTTAGATTGTGTTACGGTCACCAAGAAGTTCGGACATCGTTCCCGGATTTCCAAAAATATCATTTCTCTAACTTGATTGAAGCTTTTCTTACTGCTGTTTAGAAAAGTAACTAAAGAAATCGAAGAGAATATGTGGACCGCGTAGCACTTATGAAATACATGAAGATATAGAAACATAGATAAGTTGTAGTGCTTGGGAAAGAAATCGACCTGAATTTTCTTTTTAAGTTCAGTGAATTTGTATGGCAATCCGAGAACAATGTCCTAACTTTTTGGTGACCGTAACACAATCCCACAGGTTTTGGGCTAGCGCTCAAAAGGTGATTTGAGTGTAGCAATGTGTAGTCTTAAATTTTTTCATTTAAATTTTGTTTTGCAGCTGACAGTTGTTCGGCAAAGAGACAAGCTAGAACCATGGTTCAAGCATTTCCTGGTTGAAGACAAAGGCTTGAGTGCTACTCAACAGAGTTACGTTGACTTCTTGTGTCTCATGCATAAAGAAATCAGAAGCCTTCTCAATTAAATCTTACCTACAACAGCTTAATTTTTAATGCATTGCAATACTCGCATTGCCACAAATCTAAATCGTTTATGTAGTGGTTGGAATCAAAAGAAAACACTGCGCATTAATATCAAAACACTTAAATACAAAACTGTACACAGAGTCAATTTATATTTGTTCCACCTTTTGGGCATCTTGTTTTATGTAAGCCACAGGAAGCCCAAAAGGTCAGATGGTTAGTAGAATATCATGTTCAAAATCAGATAGTGTTTAACACGAACAATAATATAAACTAAAGTTCAAAACGGACATTTTTGAACAGAACACCATTCCAAGTAAAGCATATTTTATTTGTTAGATCATTACAGTAAAGTTTCAAGTTATTTTCTAACCAATAKGAATTAATAATCAAATTTGGAATCTCAAAGTGTTTATCATTTCTTTATGCTCCGTTGTCAATTTTGAAGCCTGGGAAGTGTTTTGCGACTTGGAGCTGAAAGCATGTGTAATGAGAAAGGGAATGAAGAGAGAGAAAGGCAATTGGGAATAAAAAGGGGAAATGTGTGCATTGCCAAATGAACATGAAATGAGACAACATTGATTCTAGAAAAACGATGCTAAGGAGAAATTAATTAAGACCCCAATTAACAACCTTCCTAGCCCCTCGTTCCCTATTTTCCTACTTCTAAATTCCAAAATTCACCAATAACTCTGAGATGAAAACATTTGCAATAAACATTGCATCAGTGCCATCTCGTACCCAGAGCCTACGTTCTTCTTGGTCAGCACCAAGAAACGAGTTTTTCTCGGTGCTGACAAAGAGCTTTACGTGACGTCACTAAGTAGACTTTTAGACGATTTTATTCTTCAGTTCAAAGAAATGTTGCCAAACACCTCTTTAGTTCCGTTGTTTAGCTAAAATTGTTCTAAAAGGAATATTGAAATGTTCAATCAAAGTCGTGAAAATGTTAAGAAATATGAAGGTATCAACCGTTCTGCATGCCCCACTATTTCGCAACGCGCAAACGATCGCACCCTTACATCAATTAACTGCTTGCTACTTAGGCTTTCCCATTCTCGTTCCCAAATCGTTGCTAACCGGGCGCTGGCTTGCAATCAAAGCGTTACGGCATCGCGGACTCTCGGGGGAGCGTTGGTGCAATTAAAAAAAAAAAATTTCTTATTAGCATCTAGTTTTAAGGGCACCATAATATGGCCTCCATTTGCTTTTGTCTTTTAACTCTCTTGGGAATTCTTGCAATTCATCATTAGCGCAAGTTCTGCGAACGAGTACGTAACCGTAAATAACCTGAGTATCAGGCCTCTTCCCTTTTTCCAATTCTCCTCTCCCAAAGAGAGCCTGATACTCAGGTTACCGTTAACAGATCTCAAACCAGAGGAAACCCATAAAGAGCACTAGTAAACTAAAATATTAATTAATCGAGCAAAAGAACTCCTGGTTCCCTGCCATACATGCGTTTATTAGTTAACGTGTTGTTGTGCACCTGTTTCAAAAGCCCGTTTTAAAAAACGTAACATACATGTTGGGGTTTAGTTCCTCCTACACCATGATCTTATGGCCAGACCACAGGAAACCCAACAAACACATTGACACAAAAATCGTTTAAGCCTGTGGAAGTACAGCTCTTCCTTGATCACAAAGCAAAGGTCAGGGCATGTGAAGGCAAAATTCGTAAATCAGTTTTTTTATCAGTCTAATCGTTTCGGTCATGAAAATCGTCCATAGATTGTGTTGGTCCGTCTTGTCGTCTATTTTACTTTCATATAGCATGGGCTCACAGCACGGCGATGAACAAGGCAACCATCAAGGACAATCTTATTTCACAGAGGAAGAGTCTAAATCTTCCTGTCAAGGAACAGACACTTGCAAAAAGGTAGGATTTGAACGTCACTGCCGTTCACTGTAGTAAACGTTTTTTGTAAGACATAGATAACATTTTGCTATTTACAGTAAGCACTTATATATATCAGTTTTTGAATTCTATTTTGAAAGGAAAATTTTCAGTCGAAGTCATTAATTCAATGTTTATTGTAATACCACGTGCACCGGTACAAAACTGACTTACAACGGGGGAGGGGTGCAGGGGCCAGCTCGTGTTCATCTAACACCATGCCAATCTCGTACACAGAGCCCACGTTCCTCTGGCTGATTATATAAGACACTTTTTAAACACTAAAATCCGCCAAAAAGTACTTAGCTGAAGGAAAAAACGTACAATAAGGATAATAATGATCAATACTTTGAAATAGCGTATTTTTATCTGGGATACCGCACTTGACTCCTGACCGTACCTTTGACCGTACCCCGGTGAGTGCGTTATTCATTCTAGTGCCCAATGTCACTCGTTTGAATTCTTTTCCATCCGGACTCCACATCGTTCAAGCCAACAGTAATTCTTCTCGTACAAAAATACCATCCAAATGGCTCTCCCGTCTCGTCTAGCTTCTCAGTTTCGATCTTCTGCAGCACTAATAAGGAATGGTGCGGTTAAGAAAGCTTTTAGCACACAATCTGCCGGGAAAAGTCGTTCAATGCTCGGCAATGCTGCTCCATTTTTGATCGGTGCGACTGCTGCCACAAGTACCTTGCTTGCAGCGAAATATTTCTACGATAATAAGGATAAATACACGGTTCTTAGGCCTGTTCATGCTGCTTCACGTATGGGGGTACGAAATTTTACAACGTTCTGCACATTTATTAGTTCAGTAGTAAATTTTTGCATACATTATGACGTTACATATTCAGCACTTTACTGTAACATCATTTACACACAGTCACGTGGGATTCTCTCCATTTTGACTCATTTGACTACCACTACTATAATGCTTAACGAATTTCCTTTCTTATTCAAAAGATTTGTATTGCTCCATGAGAATTGTAAATCAATTGAGAAAAGAAAGCGTTGGACGCATTCTGATAATTTTTGTCATAACCTTAATGATGCCATAATGGAAGTTTCCTACAGGAACAAGAGAGGCAGTTTTAAGACACAGCTACAACTCTTTACTTGGGTTGATATTATCTTATTTGCTAGATCAGTAATGGTGTGGGGTTGGTAGTAGTCTGTATAGCAGCCCAAAGAAGGGGATGGGGTACTCCGCCAGAATTTGGGTAGGGGTGTTCCGCTGGGATTCTGAAAGGGGTACCCTGTTTATGACATCCGGGGGATGGGGGCTGGGCCTGCTGACTGTACACCAGTGATTGGGTGGGTTATACAGCTAAGACAAGATGACTCGCCATCCTCATGACCTATGGAAGTTCTCTAAAGCTACAGATTGAACTAAACATTTTATTGTTCGACATYATAAAAAATAAGCTAATTTTTAATTCCAAATCTTGTGTTTTTCAGAACAAATCGGAAAGAACCTTTATAATGGTGAAACCGGATGGAGTCCAACGAGGTCTAGTGGGAGATATTATAAAGAGATTTGAACAGAAAGGTTTTAAACTTGTAGCAATGAAATTTGTGCATGTAAGTATAATTTTATGTTAATACCATAATTTTGTTTTTAATATTTTCTTCTTATCTTTCTAAAATCTCAGTTTTGACCTTATTTTATTTTATTTATTTTTTGATAGGCTGATGAAGACCATTTAAGAAAACACTATGAAGACTTGAAAGCTTTGCCTTTCTTCCCAGGATTGGTTAAATTTGTGTCTTCAGGGCCTGTTGTTGCCATGGTAATAATATCCTCACTACAAAACTTTCATTGTTCACTCTTGGGCTGTACGATGAAACTAATCATGAAATTGTTAAACCCAACAAGCCATTTTGTTTATATTCTTGTCTTGTCATTGTGTAGGTTTGGGAAGGTGTTGGTGTGGTCAAGACTGGACGAGTCATGCTTGGTGAAACTAACCCAGTACGTTATCTCTCTTTCTTATCCATATCTTAGTAATATGATATTATTAATAAATATTCCTAATGTTATTAATATCTATAGGCTGACTCTAAGCCAGGGACAATTCGTGGAGACTATTGTGTACACATTGGAAGGTAAGCTTTTTCCTTTTTTTGTTGAATCTTCCTACAAATTAGTAACCTCAGTTGACCACAGTAGACTGTAGATCTTAGACCTTTGTAGTAGTAATTTGTACCATTACATTTGTAAGTCAACTTTTCACAGATATATGGTATGCACTCTAACAGGTAGTACCACAAGAAAGCATTGTATGACTATTTTACCCCACACTGTCAATTGAAAATACACCCAGGCCTCAATGTGTGATGAAAAGGATCAGTAAAATACTGCCAAATAAACAATCAACATTCCTGCATTGTTATTGGTTGTGTTTTTAATGATTTTGGATAAATAAGACTGTTGATTGTCAATACCATGTTTAATAATTATTATTTGTTTCAGGAACATCATTCATGGTAGCGACTCAGTGGAAAGTGCCAACAAGGAAATTGATCTTTGGTTTAGTAAAAAAGAACTCATTGATTGGAAACCTAATGTCTATAAGTTTGTTTATGAGGATGAAAATTAGACCACATTTTCATATTTCTCTGACTCTCATGAAATAAAACTGCACATAATAAATAATAAATTGCTTTATGTACAACTTGTCAAATTTTTAAACACTTGATAGATTTTTTTGTTATTCTTGGATAATTGGGTGTCAGCATCCTATCTTTGGAACAAAATTATTTTGTATAAAGAAGGGAGTGTGAAATTTTCAAGGCAACAGAAGGAAATAACCTTACCTCCCCTCTTGTTATTGAAGCAAATGTCCTTCCACTAATTTACATTTTAAAAAAAACACTTCTAAGGCTGCGTTCATAATGTATGGCAGAGGGGGGGAGGGGGGGCAGGTGAAATTGAGGGGGGATCAGGAAAATTTTGGTAGGAAAAAGGGGGGATGGGCAAATTTTTATCAGAAAAATGGGGGGATACACGATTTTTGGGAGAAGCTACAAGCCTTGCTTAGGGGGGATCGTATTTCATTGCATGACTTTATGGGGGGGTGTTAGGCCCGGTCCATACGTCGCGCTTTCATGTGTCAAATAGATACTATTAGGTTCGGCACATGAAAAGTGCGACGTATGGATCGGGTCTTAAGAATTATTTTGGACATTTCAAATTTTCACCTAACCCCCCCCTCTTTGCCATACATTATGAACGCAGCCTAAGCTTAAGTATCTAATTTATTTATATTGAACCTCTATCATGTGGGCTGGCTATTTTAAAGGTTGGAAGTGCAGAGGATGGGAAAACAAAATGGAAGAACCCTTCATCTTCCCCTTTTCTATCTTTTCTATCCACTTCACCAAGAGCCTTTTTCATATGCTAACAAGTGCACTAGGACAAAGCTATCTTGTGAATTTGATGATTTGGATGCTTATATGAATTGAATTTTTCATAAAACATGTTTAGATCAATGATTGATCTAATTTCGTAAATATATTCGATTTTTTTGTCTTCCTGGACTGAACTGGAGAACTTGCATTTTGATCAGTAATTATGTTGCATGATGGGAAGGCCGGTCAAGGATATATAATCTCAGCCATCCACGTGAGTAGCTCTTTCTCTTTGGTCGGCCGAGAACTCAGCTTTAAACATTAAAATTTTCGTCCTTTTTCAATAATGGCTGATGAACGAACCTTTCTTATGATAAAACCCGATGCCGTACACCGCGGATTGATCGGTGAAATTATCACCAGATTCGAAAAAAAAGGATTCAAACTCGTGGCAATGAAATTCGTAAAGGTAAATCAACCACGTTGCAAAATTATTTAACTTTGTCTTTCTGCAAATTGAAACAATTGGATCAATCTTTTAGAAAAGCGAAAAGCATTTCAAAGAGCACTACGCAGAGTTGAGTCAAAAGAAGTTTTTTGCTGGATTGGTTAAATACATGTCCGAGTCTCCGGTAGTAGCAATGGTAAGTCTGATTTACTTTTATTTATGTTCAGGCATGTGATCAGCTGCTTTTAATATTCTAGGATATATTTTTCACATTAGTACATTTTCTCTTTTTAAAATATTTTTTAACGGTATACTCAACGCAGCATTTTCTCTAAAAGGAGTGTCACTTTCCGCTGGGAAGATGTGTTAAGTCAACCAATGCACAACTTTAGGGGGTTAGGGGATAGGAGAAATTTTAGGAAAATTTCCCTTTATTTTATTATTTTATTAAAATTGTAATAATTAATTAATAATAATTGTAATAATTAGTAATGAATAAATTTGCAGTGTACTAGAATTTTCAATAGTCCCTATCTTAGTTCCCTGTGCCATCTTGAAAGGTAGCTGTGCCTTTGCATTGAAGAGAGACAAATGGTGAGCTTGCAATGATAGACAACTTTTTTAACACCTTGAACAATTATTCACGTCTTTATCATTGCAAGCATAAGAGCTTTCTCAATGGTTTTAGACAATAATTTTCCAATTCAGGGACCAAAAAATAACTGTAAAAAAAAAAAGAGTGCAAATGAAATGAATCTGAATCTGCATCCACATTTTGGTTGTGGAAATACTGTTGACCAAGACTTTTGCTGGATGCCTAAATCCTAATCCCAATGGACAAACCCTTTTACATGTAAAAGTTAATTATGGACCCTGGTGAGGCTAGCCTACTTAAAAAATTAATGAAACATTTGTTGCTAAGGTATGGGAAGGCAAGGGTGTGGTTAGCACGGCACGAGTCATGCTTGGAGAAACTAATCCTGTAAGTATCAACATGTAATGTCCTTTTTAAACTTATAAATAAAGATTTCTTGATTTACAATGGTGACTGGTTGGCAATGCTTGAATGAGAACTACAAATTTGGATATTCTATCTGGCTACTTCAAAAAATGCTCAAATTTTGTTTTGGTCAATTTATTTATAGGTGGATTCAAAGCCAGGAACCATTCGTGGTGATCTTTCCATTGATATTGGAAGGTAAGCTAAAAGGTCATCATTATTGATGATGATTACTGAAGGGACTATGTAAATCTCCTAAGAAATGGGTTTGATATGCTTAATGAATCTAAAAGTGCAAAAATCGTCAAGACATTTTAATATGTGTGTGTGGGGGGGGGGGGCAGTGGATGAGGAAGTAAAGATTACAAAAGTACAGAGGGGCCTAACATCCCAGGTCCAACTATACCTAAAAAAGCGTATGTCCATTTGGGAACTTTGATTGAAAAGTATATACAATAATATTATGCATGATACTACAAGGGAATAGACTGAAACTTGAAAATTTGATTGATATGGAAGAGCAAAAAGTAGACAGTGGGACCCCAGGAATTAATAACCATTTTTCGTTCTCAAATTTATACCATTTGTTTTGGCACCCCAAAGGAACATTATCCATGGTAGTGACTCTGTCGAGACGGCAAAGAAAGAAATTTCTCTGTGGTTCCAAGCTGATGAGCTGAATTCCTGGACACCTAACGACTACACCTGCATATATGAGTAACTTTTGGGCTATTCCAGTGTAAAATGATTCCAGTATCAAAACGATTCAATAAATAAATAAAAACAGAAAAATCTTAAAAGCCATGGAGTGTGGTAATGTTTAATATTTAGATCAATTTTTTAAAATGTTAATTGTTTTTCTTACAGTGCAATGTGCAAAAGTATGACCACAATTACTGTGCAGATACTCCAACCGGGACCACTTTGATAAACTAGTATCATTAACCAATCATATTGAGACATTTAGTTCAATATTTTTTATTCCAGCCAATCAGATAGCGCATCGATATTATAAGAGCATGAGAACGTGATAATCTGATTGGCTAACACTGTTATAAGCTCAATCTCTGTCTAGTTTACTGTTATCTGATTGGTCAATTATATTAAAGTGGTCCCGGTTAGTGTGTCCACACAGTAATGTATTCTTATACTCCTTTGATTCATTACACATTTTGATTCATAGCTGGCTGACACCAAGGATTTTGGCATATAGTATGCAAATACATTAAATTTGATCCTACTTTTGTGCATTGCTCTGAAATTAGAGGTTTAATTAAAGGGGGACTAGTACGAAAATTGGTCAATTTTAAAAGCCAATTTCTTCAACCCAGGTGGTGATATATAACCTGATTTTTCTTATTTCACGGAAATTTCGTCGATTTAGAAAGAAAACGGTTAAATTTTCGACTTAAGACTCATGAAAAATCGCTGGTCGCCATTGCTTTGTTGTCGCCTGCCAAGCCCGCAAGTTTGCGTCAGCGGTTTCTTCTTGTGACGTCACTTACTCAACAAGTGTCTTGTAACAAAAAGTTGGTAAGTGTTATTCTCATTGCTTTCTTTTGTGCCTATTTGACTCTTTCACTTATACAAGTAAGTTTTGTTTCACGGGTTTGAGTAAAATTACTTTACTGTCCAGTTTAATCTTTTTAGAAATAAAAATTSTTCGGACAATAAATAATAATCATTTATTCCTTGCAATACCCTACTAGTCCTGTTACCCTATTTCAAATGGACAACATGTTTTGAATCAGGCTATAGTTTTTATGCCATTTTCAACAATGAATGGTACTCAATATACAGCATGAACGCAGTATGCCATGCCTTGACATTGAAATGACTTCCCATTGTCTTCAAGTAATTAATCCAATCACAACATAAAGTTACAATTACAGTAAGATATTCACATAGTACAGCTACAAACTTTACAAATCTATTTATAACTAGCCCATGACACTAGATGTATGTTTAAGTTCATTTTTTTTTTTTGCTAACAATATTATGATCCACCATATTTTTCTTCCTACTATCATAACCTATATATTAATTAATATTAAGAATCTAATGTTATAAATTCTCAGTGCAGGTTTCCACATGTGAACTTGGCCTGTTTTGAAGAGTCAAATGAGTTTGATTTCTGTGGGTTTCAATTGAAAACCAACCACTCAAATAATATTGCAAAAATATAGACCTTTACGCATTAAGACTGCAACAGCAAGATGATGACGCAAGCACAGTTCCAAATGGCTTTCCCTGTGTGTGGTGTCTTCCTTGTCATTGCTATTCTCTCTAGGATGTGGAAAAGCACCAACTGAGGTTGTAGTGAGGGCAGCAACAAAAGGCTGACAGTATGGACATGAAAAAGAATTGAACTGTGCTCATGTTTTTTAAAGGGTTGTTTTCCTTTCATGCTTGTCGATGCATGAGGTCTTTATTGGGCTTCTCTATTGTTATTAATGCAAAGACAATGCTAACCAAACCCACACTTAATTGCCTTTCTAATTATCATAATATGAATCCTGTGGTGTGCTCCAGAGATCTATTGTGGTGCCACTGGCCTGTTGGCTTCTCTTGCTCTTTTGATTTGTTTTGCCTTTTCAATGACTTTTTCTGACTTCACCTCAGGACACAGAGTAAATACGCACAATTCTAGCATTACCTGAAAAAACAGAAACCAGAGACATTTGCCCAAGTCAAAAGCTTTGCTGTGGAATAATAATCTCAAATTAACCAAACTTGGCTAAGAAGACCTTGGAAAACCCAAAACATCTTTGGAGCAGACTTCCATGCCTATGTCCCACAGGGAGTTGCTGAAATTAGCAAGGGGTGGGGAGGGGTACTGGGTTGGATTCAGGTATTTGTTAGGGGGGTGTCCCACATGAAGAAATGTATATAGAAATATGCATCACTTCAAAAAAGACTAACAGCCCCCTGGGTCCACCCCTGGGGTATGTGAAGAGGTATATGCGTCCATATTCTGGTACTTGATCATGACTCTTTACCAGAACTTCCCTGAGGAGGAAGTCTGGGCAAAACAAATCAATAATTTAGGGAGTAGAAAATAGCAGACCTTAACAGACTTACATAGAACAAATGCTTATTGATCCTCTGATCCTGAAAAGCCTCAAAAACCTAAAATATAGTACAAGGTGTTAGAGTTCAAATAATAATAATAAAAAGTCTAGCAAATGATCACTGAAGATTTTCAAAAAACTTGTTAATTTCCCATAGTGGGGGATTAGTTCCTGAAGGCTGGGAGAGGCATGAAGGAGGATTTTCCACAAGACCATGTCAAAAATTGAACAAAGCTGCAAACCTCCATGCATCCCTCCTTATTCAGGAACTGTCGTAAACATTAACAGCTAGAGCTAGGAGGGTCAATGGACAGAATGGGATGGCAAATGTAAAGTGGCTGATATATTTTGCATACTTTAATTGTTCCAAGTTTACTGTTTTTCTTTCCAACAAGGCTCTGTAAAATCTCTGCAAAGAAAATGAAGAAATAATTTGATATATTTATGGCCTGGTAACAAATCCCCATATTTAGATGTTTCCGAGGAGGAGTCCAATATTAAATTCTTTCGAAGACTGTCCAAGCTGTCCAAGGTTTGTGAATAATTAATGGTTAGCTATAGGGCACATCTATTTAAATATAATCAGCACCAAAAAGCAATAAGCCTGATTTGTCTTGGGTGCAATGTTTACGCATTACAGACCATACAGTATATCATTCCCTAGAGTATTATTTCTTCATTTAATAGTTGTGCATAAACTCAAAAATATGGATACAACTAAAAAAATAATCTTATTCTCTAGAGAATGACACATGGTTTGTAACTGGAAAACATTGCAAGAAAAATTTGGTAACATGGTCAATATTATAATGATAAATAATATTTTATATGTTTTAAGAAGAAAATGGGAGAAGATTATTTCCTGAAAATTACAATTAACATGTACATTACCTGGGATGTCTTTCACTAGCTTCTTCTTGGCTTTAATCTTTGTGTCATTTTTCTCCTGCAGATATTTTAGCAATAATTTATTACCAACATTAATATATATTTATAATTAATATAATCCAGGAAGGATGAAAATAAAGAGCAGGACGCCAAGAGAGGGATTCTCACATTATTTATCCAACACCTCCACAAGGAAGGATGGCTATTATGTAGTTCCAAAAAATATCCATTTTTTCCATACTACTTAACAAACATTAATTGAATCAATGTTGTACCTTTGCTGTTCTTGTAGGTAAAGGTTTAGCAAGTGTACCACTGGGCCACATGGAATCTCTAAACATATTCACATAGTAGATAACCATGGATTCTGACACAAGCCACTCTACCATCTCTCGAATTTCCCTAAAGTAAGCAATGAAATAACCAGATTAATGTCGATAAAATGCTCACTTTGTGTGAAAATTGAGAAGAGGGCTACCTTTGCCTTAATCTATAGGGGTGATGAAGGCACATGTATCTGATAGTAACAAATATTTCTTACCATGAGACATTGCAATGATTATAATACTTCTTACTTGTTTATTGTCCCTCCAAAGGTAACTTGAACAAAGGCAATCAGTGTTCTTCTAAGCCACTTAAATACTGTGGACAAATAACAAACATTCATGTCAAGGTACATATTTTCCCCAAAATTACTTACAGCATAGTATGTAAAAAAATTGTACATGAGCATTCTTAAAACCTACCTCCCTTGAGCTCAAACACTTCTCCAATGAGACCATAAAAAGGCTCAGCTATAGAATCCTTAGGAAGGGTACTGAAAAAGAGAAGACACTTTATGCATGATATAATCAGTTGGATGAATATATAGAAAAATTCTGTGATCTATGGACTTTGGTTGCAATATAGAGGATGAGAAAATCAGAGGGGAAAAGAGATCCTTATAAGGAAGGAAGAAAATAGTTCTCACTAAGTGGCATTGGTTATAGTAGTTGCACTCTAAGTAACCATGGAAAATGCTATGTGTAAACTGCAGCTCTTTCTTGGTGTGGCAAAGCACCTGAAGCATGAAGACAATACAACAATAGCCAATGATAATGACTTTGGAGCTAAACAATACCCTACAAAAAAGTACGTAGATGATGGCTAGTAAACACTAGCGTGGACTGCGTCGGTGTTCCTATTTTCACTACGGTTTATAACTTATCAATCTACGGTAACTGTTGCAAAAAAGTACTTTTACCCAGAATACAATAATTAAAGGTGTAAAGCTTGCTCCTTCAAGAAAGTCCCATTTAAACTCAATGCTAAATAATTAATGTTGGGTACAAAAATTATTGAAGAAACAATATTTTACCAGTCTTCTTGCTCCATTTCCTATCAAGAGATAAATGATGCAGCAACAGTTACATGATATATTACACAAACAGAGATTAATAACCACTAATAAGAGGAAAGTAGCACAGAGAATAACAGCTACAAGAAAGACAGTTATAAAACAGGGTGTATATATGGTAATACAGAACTACACCCACAGAAACAACTGACAATAATTAGTGCATCTTGTATAAACGGTTCACATTTGTCTAACTAAATGACTTACTAGAGTGCTCACACTAAATCCGTGAAACAAATACTAATTTTTAGCACTAAATAGTGATAATTAARCAATAGAAAACAAAGGATTCTGTATGAAATAGTACTAATTAGTACTATTTAATGTTCACGGTTTTAGTGTGTGCACTCTACAATCAATTGTTATCTCAAAACTTTTTCATCTTACCTCCTCTGCTTCATCATTTAGAATTATATCAAAAGGAAGGCTGTAAAAAGAAAAGGAGATGAAAAAGTGAATGTAATTATTGCGTTTTTTTCCTTGTCTTGTGATCAGTACCTGTTCTGTTAAACTAAGAAATTTCTCACCTTTTCAAGACTGACATGAAGGAAAACTCTTTCTTCTTGGTAGGTTCACTGAAACAGTATATATCAGGTTAGTAAATTATGGGTGTGTGGCACCAGTGAAATGGCAGTTTTAGAGTGGAACCCTGGATACTGAGTGTACAACTGATAAGTTATATCATTAGCATTTTAGCCCCTATCTGCTGGTAATCCAAAGTCTTCTTTACACTGCATTGTCTACTGGCACTCCTAAGATTTAAGAGTAAAGATTCAAGAATGCRTTTCCAGATCAAGAAACATTACCTTGTAAAGATTCAAGAATGCATTTCCAGATCAAGAAACATTACCTTTGCTTCCTCAAGTGTTCAGGGCTTGGGCTTAAGAATGAGTAGAGTTCTTCACTAAGACACAGCTTGTCATCAGCCAAAAGACTCTAGCATATGCAATAAGAGTGAGAGAGAAAAATATTTTAAAAGAGTGCTGCCTTCAAAGAAATAAGCTCCTCATTCATAACATTTCTTACTTTTTCCCCAATGTATATGAAAGAAAGAAAAAAAGTAAGAAGAGAAAGAAAAAAAGGAAG